AAACACAAAGTTTGTTTTCTCAGTCATCCAGGTATATAACAACAAAACTGAGAAAACAAACTTTGTGTTTTTGAAACCATTAGTGAAAAGGCCAGACTTCAGGGGTATCTGAGGCAGGCTTGAAACACAAGAGTCAGGGTGGCTTCTGGGTAATACCAGATGGCTAGGCCTCAGACTGACGAAGCCTCTTGGATGAGGGGCGAAACGTTTCTTTTTAACAAAAAAACGAAGTCCAGATGACATGATTCAACCTTTTTTGTTGTAATTTTCTCATGTTTTTTTTTTCTTATTTGTAATACAGAACCTTTTGGAAATGTCATATTAGTGAAATGTAAAACCAGCAGACAGAATAAAAGAAAAAATGTTGCAGCTGTGCTGAAGCACCCTTTCACCACCATCAAGAATGTTAATATGAAACAACAACGTCACACGCACACGCCACAACACTTCAGCCTCTTTTCATTTAGCACTCAGATTTTTCCTCTCCAAAAGCTTTCTTGCTGCTGTTTTTTCTCACATCTACAGAGACGGAGACTATTTCCTGGTGTTTAGAGCCTCCCACCAGCTGCTAGTGATCAGAGAGGATGCAGCTTTCAGACGAGCTGGATGCTCAGACCGACTCACACTTTCTGTGTTGTTGCTCCAGTTTCAGGGTGTTGCTGGTTTCATGACAGAGAGGAACAAGTAACGAGCAGCGTTTGCACATTAGAGATCTTTGTGTGCACTTTGAGTTGAGTACAAGTGTGAGTGCGTCACAGTTCTGTCCAGGGAGGTTGTAGCAAGGAATGGATCCTCGTTAGATCACACTATGAAGGCAATAACAAGGAGGAGCTTGGGGTCACACAAGTGGGGAAGTCTGGGGGTCCTCCTCCAGAATATTTTGAATAAAGTAGATGCCATTTCCTGCATTCTAGTGTATCTTAACGGGATGTTAGACATCTACGTTTACCTACATAAGTAAAACACTTGATTCAATAACTATTTTTGAAGAAGTAACCTGACCAACAGCTCACCTTGTTTGAATAGAGCACGTTCTGTTTCTCTCACGCATCCCCCCACCCTGATCGACAACACTGCGGTAAAGCCTTCCTCAAATTTGGAAACCTGACTTCAAATCCAGAGTGCTCAATTACAACAAGCTTTACGGCTGAGCGGTACCTTTACAGCCGGGCTGTATTTGCTCCGTTGCATATGGCCCCTGTTTAAAGGCGACTAACATACAAAAAGCAACATTTCACCTCGATGTTCTTACTTTGATTCTTCACATTTAAAGCACGTTTCTCACAAAGTCTGTGGAAATTCAGCTGTGGGGTTGTAAAGACATTTCAACTTTAATGCACTTTAACGCACAGTACTACCGTAACGCTAAGCTAGCGTGCGACACGGAGGCGTCTCCACCTCCTCCCCCCGCCCCGTCGACAAAAAAAAAACAAAAAAAAACTTGAAGACGTGAGCGCCCTGTTAAAATAAGTGATGGGGGACAAACCAAATGGATTTGTTCACTAAGAAATAGAAACTGCACTGGGTGAACTAATAGGGTGTTCCCTTCACATATGATGGTTGTGAGGCTTGTGGCTGAGAGGTACAGATTCTCCAGAATAAATACCGTTAGACTAAATATCCATGCTAACCCGGCCTGAAGCTAAAGTTGCTCGTAAGAAAAGTTGATGTTAGACTGATTGTGTTGCCACACGGCGCGGTGAGCGTGCATGTGCTGATGTGTGAGGAAGTTGAGCTTTCAGATGTATTCTGTGTTCTGTCAGGGGAGAAGCTCCGTCCTGCTCCTCGCCTTCTGCTCTCACCTGTTAATCTGCCAGTGCTTGACATTACATGGCTGCCTCCCATCAGCCTGCAGCCACTTTCAGTGATAGATAGGAACAAGCCAGAGGGAGCAGGAAATGGGAGAGAGACAAGTGCATCGAAAAGCCAGGGGGGTAAAAAAAAAAAGAGAAAATGGATGGAGAATGGGAGAAGAGAAGATTTAATGAGAAAAAAAAATCATTGAGCTCCGAGCTTTTGTCTTTCCATTGTTTTGTTCCCTTCCTCTCGGAGAGGACTCATCGGTCCTCCCTCCAAAA